TGTTTCCTACATCTGTTATAACATGAGCCTTTCAATTTGTTCAAGTCTGTTTTCTTGCAGAGACACTTATGATTTGTTATTGTTAAAACAACTGAGGTTTTAAAGGCAGGAAAAACCCTTATGGAAAGAGGTCTCTGAAAAGTGACCAAACCAAAGCCACCAAAAATAAGACTAGGCTGTTTGCAAAACAAAAGATCTTGAGTTGTCTCAGTCCATTCCCTGTGTTGCAGCTATGCTTCTGACTGTACAAACTTCTCTTGGCACTTAATCACACAGGGGAAAAAATCCAAGCCAACCCTAGGTCAGCAGTTGAACACCCAGTCTCAATATCGTTCATACAGTACACTAGAAAACTTTAAAATAATAAGGTTTTCATCCCATTGTATTCCTCTTCAAAGCAAATATATGTGGAAGACAGGGAATAGAATCTGGACTGTACAAACATTCACTGACTTCAATGACTGATTTATATTAGCCTTAATGCAGGAAATCATGTGTCCAGCTCACATTCTACCAATGTCCTTAGGGAATCAGAATACTGAGCTGGCAGTTCAAGATTTAGTGAAGGTTCATATTGTTGCAGTTTCTTTCAAACAGTTAACAGCAACCATTTTAGGAAAATTCCTCTTTGCTCAGTAGTCACTGGTTAAAGTCTTATCAGAAAACTGAGCAAATGGCACACATGAAGATAATTGTTAGGAAATTCAGAGGGACACCTCAAAGAAGCTCTGAACACAAGACATATCACTGTTCCCTTTCACTCTTACATCAAAACCACATAAAGCAACAATTATAGGGAAACCATGATAAAAAGAAAATGAAGAGAACTTGAACTTTTCTGTGAAGCATCCCACACAGGATATTTACTCAGCCAGTTGATTACTATGGAGAGAGAATTCCAGACATGTAGGTCTTAACTAGGAAAGCCCTTCCTTGCATTACATACCCACACATATCCACTTTGTGTTACTCTTAAGAAAGTGTCAGGATAAAAAATAAGAATCATGGGCGAAAAATTTGACATGAAGATAGCCTCCTTGGCCTATGCAGGCATCTTGATTGACTGTCTTGAGAGTAAATGTGCACCATGCAATTTTCCTTGAATAGAAGGAAATGCCAGTAATTTACACAGTGATCTAGTTACCACTGAATTTTGCTGCCTCTGATAAGTGGAGATGTGTCTACAACACTGACCCTCTTGGACAGGTTTACTTGTAAAGTTTTTGACATTAGGTATATGACTGTACAACAGGAACTATTAAGAATTCAATATTTACCTAGCAGATCCTATCAGATATACTTCCCTTATTTCTTATTCTAAACACTGGGAACTACTAAAGTATATAATATATATATAAAGCATATAAAAATACATCTTGATATCCATTTCCTACATGTACCAGTTTTGACTATGACTCTAAGGTGCTCTGTGCAGATACTCTATGCCTGTCATATCAGGCTTTCTCCATTGTGTTCCATATAGATAGTCCCTTTGAACACACAAAAAGTAATTAATGTAATGATTATAAATATAAATAACATAATAAAATAATAATTAACACATAAATAAAAATACTAAATAATTATAATGACTATAATAATAAGAGAAAAGAAAGTACCTTCATGGTACTTGAAACTGATAAAATCTGTGTTCAAAACATTGAGAAGTTGTGAGGTATTCAGTTGTGCAAAGAGATACAAGTGCAACATGGGCTGCATCAAAAGAAGCATGGTCACCAGGTCAAGGGAGGCGATTCTGCCCCCTTACTCTGTACTGGTGAGACTTCACCTGGAGTACCATGTCCAGACGTGGAGTCCTTGGTACAGGAACAGTGTGAACCTGTTGGAGTGTATCCAGAGGAGGGACACAAAACTGACTAAAGTGATGGAACATTTCCCTGTGAGGACAGGCTGAGAGAACTGGAGCTGGAGAAGAGACCTGATAGCAGACTTTCAATATCTGAAGGGGGACCATAAGAAGGAAAAGAACAAACTCCTTAACAGGGCCTGTTGTAATAGGACAAGACTAAATGGTTTCCATATAAAGGAGAGGAGATTTAGATTTGGGAATGGTTTTAAATTGAGACAGGGGAGGTTTAGGTTAGATATTAGGAGGGAGTTTTTCACACAGAGGGTGGAGCACACTGGAACAGGTTGCCCAAGGAGGCTGTGGATGCCCTGTCCCTGGAGGCATTCAAGGCCAGGCTGGATGTGGCTCTGGGCAGCCCAGTCTGGTGGTTGATGACCCTGCACATAGCAGGGGGGTTGAAACTAGATGATTACTGTGGTCCTTTTCAACCCTGGTCATTCTATGTTTCCATGATTCTATGATTCTATGATTCTATGATTCTATGATTCTATAAGAAATTTTTTACAACAGTGGCAAGAAGGCACTGGAACAGATTGCCCGGAGAGGTGGTGGATGCCCCAACCCTGGAGTCATTCAAGGTCAGACTGGATGGGTCTCTGAGCAACCTTGCTTAGCTGTGGATGTCCATGTTCATTTCAAGGGAGTTGGACTAGATTACCTTCAAAGGTCCCCTCCATCTCAAACAATTCTCTGATTCTACGCTTTCTTGCTCCATACTGAACATAAGTGTCTTGTGCACATAATGGTCTATTATTTTTGGGGTAAGATGCTAATATTTCTAGCAAATGTTCAAGTAATATGACTTTCAAGTGAATAAAGAGATGATATTTGCACTTCATCATAAGTCAGGAAGGATGACTCCACTTCCTGATTGCTAAATTTACTGTAAATCTCAAAAACTGACTTTGAAAAAGAAGTTCCAGAAGCCTAGGCCTTCCCGAAAATTTATCACAATGGAAAAACAAAGTAGTTTACCCTTCTTCCATGCATACACCACAAAGGAAAATAATATTTTACCTTCTGATCACAGGACTCTACCAGCTGCTCCTGCTACTTTATTGTTCAGGCCTGGTTAGGTTTCCTTGCTGTTTCTCGTTTTTTCTCTCAGGGAAAATTCATCACTTAAAAAATAAACCAACCCCACAAAAAAACCTTTTACTGATTTTCAGACAACACACATGCTTAGACTAACAGCAAACTTAGACCATGATTATATTTCAAAAAGCTGAAGAAAAACCCTTTGCAGATGCCAAGCTCAACCAAGACTACTCTGTTCCACCAGCACTCTGGATATGCACCTCAGACAATTATTTTTCTATTACTATTGCAAGTTATGGAGATGCTGGTTATGTAGCATGCATCCACTGGAAACAAAGAGATGATAATCTCCCAAAGTTGCAAGCATGGATAGCATTACAAAGTGTTTTTAATTGGGAAGGGAAAAAAAAACAACTCGAGTATGTATCAAAAAGAAAAAAACATACTTCCTTATTTTGAAAATAACCAATCTAAAATACATGCTTTGTTTTTTCAGCTTAAATATGCCAAAACACTGAAAAGTCAGTCTTTGGGAACTGCTGGTTGTAGCCAATGTGGGGCAGAAAGTAAAGTACCATATTCAGAAATGTAATCTGTCACAAGATTTCTATAATTATATATATCTTGTCATAGACATATTAATCCAGACTGTCCCCAGTTACACGGGTAAAGCTAGTGAAATCCACCCATCAGTTCTGGCTAAATGAACAACTAATTACAGGCCTATGTTGCTGAGTGACAGATCTGCAAAGGAAGTTTTTGTTAAAAAAAACTAGGGGAGAAATAAGTACCCCACAGAGAAAGCATTCGCTTTACCTGCAAGATGTTGACTTAGTATTTCAGTGCTGAACATTAATGGGACACGTAGATAACTACCATAAGTGAAGAAATTGACCTGCTAGGATCTAAAAGCATTTATTTGTTTATTTTTTACTGATTGTACAAAATTTGCAGTTTGTATTGGAGGAGCCCAATTATGACCACATCACGACAGTTACATCACTGCTTAGGAAAAGACAGGAGAATATAGCTGTATTGCATTTTGAAAGCTACTGGTACAGAATCTAAGCTTGTCATCACAGCAGCAACAGTCATCTATATTTTAATCCCTGTCTGTCTGTTTTCTCCCTAAAGAATGTAGGTAAGCAACAACATAAGGACTTCCTGTGTTTTAAAATTAGTATTTGCACAGTCTCATGGAAATGTAATGATGGGTTTTTGCTTCTGGTAATTGTGGGTTATGCTATCACAGCAGTTTTGCAAGGGAGGAAGGAAGTGGGGGGTAAATGGGGAGGATGTGGCTACCCCATTAAAAAAGAAAGCAGTGGGAAGTTGTCCACTTGATTGAGACTGCTTCCCAGAAGCTGTGACAAACTACCGAGATCCACTGTAGATCTACACTGAGTCTATTTCCCTCACGGAATTGGCAGGTATGCCATACCTTCCCCTTCTCCCCCCAATGAATTTTACTGCCGTGACATCCTGACAACTTGACATTTAAAAACAGAAATAAAAAGCAAGTACAGATTTAGACTGTAGGTATAATGACCCGCTAGAAATGGAAAGGTGTGACTACTACTTCAATAGGATGGCTAGACGCCCTAGATAATCATCAGAGTGAAGTATGAGTATCAGTCAGAAAGATGACTCAGTCCTTCTCAGCCGTATCTTGGAAACACCTATCCATTTCCACTGTCTATGGAGAAGGGTGGAAAATCTTCCATCTTCAGAAAGGCCTCTCAGTTCAGTGGAAGGAAGCTGATGTACCACACTGACAGAACAACCAGGAACTCTCCAGACTCTCTTCTCAATCACTTCTAAACATGTATGCCAGTGATATATAAGAAATTTTGGTACACATGCTTCCTGGAACGGTATTGGTTCAAAAAACACCTTAATGATGAAGTTTTCTGACCAGATTATCTGAAGGTTTCTGAAAGAGCTAAGGGCTCAATTTTCAGACTCCTACTACTATATTATCAAGGAATTTTGTTGGCTAGGTATTTCCTGACACTGAAAAAAATAAAATGAAGTTAAAACATACAAAACCACCCAAAATCTGTTATTTAACATTAACTGCATCAATGTGATGTTATTTTGTCAAAGGTTTATTGGGTTTGCAATATTACAGAGTCTTTGTTGGCAGTCTACATGACATCCAGATTTCACAACTATAAAATGGCACAACTGATTTTACCTGCTCATAAAAGCACAACACAATTCATCAATTCAGTTGTTGATGATAATTAATATAAGCTACTTTTCAGATATCTAAAGAAAATGAACTAATTATCCTGCCCAAGTACCATAACTTGCACAGAAAAAAATGGAACTACTATGTTTTTATTTTAATTTACTGAGATATAAATAACCTACACTGTAATCCTTACAATGCTTTGTAAGCAATACAATTGTTTTTGCAATTGCTGTCACGCGTTTGCTGTCTTTTACACTGCTGTTGACTTTTTCAGTGAACCCTGTCCCCAGTCAGTATAGGGTAGAAAGTGAAAAAAACACCCTGCTTCTATTGTGAGAATTTTCCTATACACTTTATTTGCTTCATTTCTTACGATGTCAGGATCCTTGTCTGTAGGAGGATAGCTCAAAATGTTGTGAATATGCAGGTGTTTGTCTTGAACCAGTTTGGCAGTTATGAAATAAATGGTCTCCGTGTTGTTTTTGTTAGAGATGGTATCAAGTAGGTAGAATCCTTATTCGCAGATTGTGAGATAAGATCTAAGGCATGTTTCACCAATTGTTTTGAAGAACAGTTTTTGTCCATACCATCACAAGTGATATATATGGCAGCAATGCTCAGTCTTGTGGTAATCACAGTTCAAGCACAGTTCATAGGTTTCTTTGCGTGCATGGCATCACTGCAAGGGTGAGAGACATCTTCAAATGAAGACAGATGACAGACCCCTGAAATGTGCCAGAATGGTCAAAATTTCCAAAAGCTTTTAATCATTTATATTGTTGGCCACAACCAGGGAAGCAAAATCCAATATAACCTTCATATTTATTTTCCAGAAGTCTGTTTTCATGCGTACATGATATTCAGTAAGTGATGTTTTTTTCTGAGCACTTTTCACTGTTGGCAGGTTGTCATTGTGGGGATGAATAGTAAAACAAAAAGTAACTAATTAACTTTGACAGCACATTTATTTGATAAAGTATCATCTTGCAAAGTTCAGAATCAGTTACAGACACCTGCTGCCAGACTGAAGAAAAGGAATCATCGTTAATCTGCTTAACTGCATGGCTTGTCTAACTCCCAGATGCCTTCTGATGCAGGCTCGTGGGATTCCAGCAGTTTTATCCCTGTGAACAAAGCAGGCAGACAACAAATCTCTGTTTTCTTCTTAGATAAAACAGAAAACCAGCATACAGATTTGTAAGAACTGTTTCTGCTGAGAGTGTGGAAGTGTAAAGAGGATAGATTAATAGGCATCTGTAAAAGATTAAAAATAAGCATTGCATATAAATCTCTATTCTATCAATTAATTCTCATGAAACATATCCAGTGACCAGCCAATCTCAGATAATTTAACTTTGATAAATCTGTGTCAGGGGGATACTCCTTTGTTAGAGCCTTTCCTGGAGGGTTGGCTCCCTGGGCTCAGGGCCAGAGCAGCTGTATGTTGTCTCCTTCATCCTGTGTCTGGGGACAGTGGTGAGGTTGACCTCTGCCCACGCGGCCACATTCAAGCTTAGCCTCTGTCCTGCAGCGTCCACCTGAGCTACAGCTTCTGCCATGTTGTAGGCCATGACCCATCTGTACCTGGCCATAGCCCCCCACTCAGATGGGCCCAGGCTCAAGCCCAAGTCATGGCCTGGACTCAGCCCAGCTGCAGGGGCAGGGACGTGCCCATTGCCGGAGGCTGGGGCTGCCCTGGTGCCCCCAGTGCCTTGCTCCTGGTGAGGACAGGCAGGCAGGACCCATCACTACCCGTCCCACCAGGGGAGCCCTTTGGTGCCCTGATATCCAATGGAAAGAAATCAACATTCATAATTTTCTAATGCTAATGAACACATTACATTTTACTCTGCAAATGCATATTAATATTTTCACTTATTCTGCAATGTGAAGCAAGTAAATGACTCTCTATGGAAGCCATGGAAGCTATGTTGCAGCAGATTTTTACTGAGTGAGAATAAGGTGCCTGCATGCAGAGACAGAGAAGAAACAGGGCTCGGCAGCCCAAGCAGATGCTGTGCATTGACCAGCCAGTGTCATCAGCAACAGCCCAGGAACCATTTAACACTATGTGGTTACAGAGCAAGTCTCCAAATTATCATTACGTGTAATAGTGCTTAAGAAATTTTCGGTCAGAAGCCTGAATGGCTGCACATAATAAACAAACTAAGCTTATTTCTTTTTAGATTCCTCAAGTATCTTTTCCTAAGTGGGAAACCTCTTAGAGATGTTTTAGAAATCAACAGCAAAAAAGTAATTGCAAACCTCAGTTTTACCAATCGTCTATTAACCAACACTTTTGGAGGCAACTTTTGTAACCATGAAGTATCCAGAAACTGGAGAGGACCCTCTCTTGGGGAGCACCTTAGTTCCTATCCACTGGACACCACTACCTTTAGACAAAAGGCATTGCCTGCTTTACCTCAACAGCTGGCCAAAAAATGCAATGCAAAAATGTGTTTTGCAAAAAAATGCAGCAAACACGACAGTAGTTACAAAAACATTTAATCTATACTATTACTGAAGTCCCAGAGGCACCAGGAGGAATCCAGTTCAATACATGTGTCATAATCAATATAAAATATCTGTGGTGTTTTTTTTTCCCAATCCTGTTCTCCAAATGTGTCTAAATGTGCATGAAGAATAACGAAATGTTAGGAAGAAATATCAAGACACATTCAATTATTTGTTATATGACTAGAACTGTCAGACCTACTATAAAATGTACAAAAAAATTTAGTCAGATTTCACATGGAGCTTTAACAATGATTCTTTCATGAAATCTGGTGTCCCTGGCTGACCTAACCATTTCTGCACTGACATTCGGCAGAAGAGGAAATCCCATTAGATGTAGTGGTTTAGTACATGTTAGTAAGTATCTTTGTATTTAAAACAAAACCAAAAATTTACAGTCAGTTAATGGAGAACTGAGTATCAGCTTGATTCACTCTTGAAAATATTCCTTTTTAAAATAAATAAATAAATAAATAAATGAAATCCCACTTGATAGAATGAAAGAATAAAGATCAGTTTCTGAAGAATGACTTTGGCTGGTAAGGGGGACTGGACTTTCAAAAGTAAAAACTCAGACTCTTCTCAACTCTATCTCTCCAGAGCAATAATACACCACCATCTCCAATGACCTAAGTGATAATGTGAACATGAGGATTTCAGGATTAATCATTTAAAAACTTATACGTATTATCTATCTTCAGAAGGCAAATTCTGAAATGAAGTAGCAAGTCTGTCTCAGAATTGCCTATGTCACAAAAAAACCAAGGCTTCATAATTTCCTCACAATAAGCAGTCTCTTCTGAATCACGTCTCAGCAGCCAGAGTCCAAAAATAGATTCTGGACATCTGACCACTATGAGCAACAGATCAGCCCAAGATTTAACATTGCAAATAACTGCTTCTCATCAATCTAGCACAAAGCTACCAGAGGAATATTTCTGTCACATTAGGGTTATCAAACGCAGTAAGGATCTGCTGTTTCACAGTGTGGAGCATGTCCTTGGCCAGTTTAGTTCCTATTTTCATGCTTAGGAGATATGCTGAAAGCCTGGAAAATCTATGTTAAACTGCTACAGGAGGAACACTCGCTCTGTTCACCCTGACTCCCATTGATGATGCCATAGAACTGATCAGCAGCAGGGCCCTAACAGCACAGAGCAGTCTAAAAGAAATGCACTTTCTTCACCCAGTCATCTTAATTAATACACACAAGGAAGTGATTGTAGCATGATGACTATTAAGTGAATAATTATAATGTCGCATACGGATAAAAAAGGATTTTTCTATGCTAAAATATATAAAATCGGTACAGAAACAAAGATACCCCCCAGTGGAAACAAGCAGCCATTGCCAGCCTGTTGGTGACAGGTCTTAATTTGTCACAGTCTTACTAACAGCACTTGCTCTCATGCAGCAAAGGCAATTACTTTTTTTGCAGAAATTAATCACTTTACATTCTGGAGCTATATAAATAATTAAGATTCAACTAAACTTGTCAAAGTACATAACACAGTACTCCAAAACATTAAAGGCTGTGCTTTATTCACATAGTTTCAGTTCAGTGCACATAACAGAGCCTTGTCACTTTACCCAATGGATACGTGAGCCCCCAGAGCTGTAAGATCACATGACAAGGATTGGGGATGGCAAATTAACTCACTGCATTTATAACATCTTTCACTACCAAAGCTCAAAGTTAAAAGAATTTGCCTAGAGAGTTGGCGTGCTGTGAATCAAACAATACTTAAACTTAACAGGGAGATTAATCTTCAGGCAAATGCTATTGATCCTTACACTGTATTCCCAGTGATTCATCTGAGCCAATCAATGACCATAGTTTCTTTTTGTATGTGCTTTTGTATATCATAATAGGCCTTAGTGAAATGTCTACATTTGTCTACATTAGTAAGTCTTATGAATCCATTCTGCTTTTATAGAAATATAACTTGAAAGATAATAATTTGATATAAAATATCTGATAAAAATAAAGATTTTTTTTTTGTTATTCTATTTCATAGACCAATATGCAGGCTGAAGGCATAGTTGTCACAGGTCACAGTGAGCATGAATAAGCGTTTCCTAAACATATAAGGCAGTCTCCCACTCTACCAGTCCATCCGTTTGTCCTTGCCTGACACTTTTTAAATCGTATGATCATCTTCAACTAATTTTTAACAGAGGAATAAAAATCAGAAAACCTTTCAAGTTTTCTAAGGATTAGCAGCTAGGTATTCGGGGAACATAAGAGCATCTGATAAACCAAATTGTATTTTATAGGCATTTAAGAATATTGAATAGCTTTCTGTTTGCAAGAAAACCAACTGGGAAAAAATTAACTTGGAAAAAACTGAAAAAAATAACAGCATACTTCAGAGCAGACTGGCAAAAGACCTGACCTAGCCTGCCTTCTTCCACACTTAGTAGCTAGAAAGATATTTCCCATCCTGGTGGACCAGAGTGATGAAGAATTAGACTCTGCATATTTCAGCTAGAAGGGGGGTAACCTTGTTACCTTTGATGAATGTTTGGTTTTGACAACTCCAATAAACTCCAATATCTGCTCAGTCAGAGTGGTACAGTTCAGCACAATTCAATCACTAAAGTGCTGTTCGTGGTGCCCAAGTTGTCTGCTACTACTGGTTCATTAGCCATTCCTGCTAACTACATCACTACTGGCTGTTGCTTACAGCAACAACCATAGTGCCGTGCAGCTGTTTCGTGGAGAGTCTGATAGAAGGTATCAGCCTCACATGATCCACATTTAAAATATGGAATCTTTTTCTGTCCTTCAACTAACAAGGATAAAGACCTTTCCATGGCCACTCACAACAAAATTCTACCAGTTCAAGAAATTCACATCTTTTTCCCTCTGCAGGGCTGATCTTAATCAGCAAACTCTCAAGTCATAGAATCACAGAATCACAGAATGACTTGAGCTGGGAGGGACCTCAAAGATCATCAAGCTCCAACCCCCCTGCTGCAGGCAGGGCTGCCAACTAGTACTAAATATATCTAAACATATCTAGTACTAAACCAGGTTGCTCAGAGTCCCATCCAACCTGGCCTTTAACATCTCCAGTGGACACCTCCAAGTCATTACCCATCACCAAAATGAGCCTCCCTCACTGCAGATTTTTTCCTATGGCTTTGAACGGTGTCCTGCTTTTGGCTAGGATGGAGTTAATTTTCTTACTAGTATCTGGCATGGTTATGCTTTTTGGATTTAGATTGAGAATAATGTTGATAACACAACAATGCTTTGTTTGTTGCTGAGCAGTGCATACGCTAAGGATGCGAATCTCCAAGAGAATCATAGGCTCATACACTCATGTCCATCAAGACCCACAAGTTCTTTGCAGGGCTGCTCTCACTGAGATCTTCTCCCATCTTGCACTCATAGCTGGGATTGCCTTAACCTAAGTCCAACACCTTGCATTTGACCTTGTTAAACCTCATTAGACTCTCCTGTACCCCCTTTTTGAGCATGCCTAGGTCCCTCTGGATGGCATTCTTTCCTTCTATCGTGTCAACTGCACCACTCTGCTTGGTGTCATCAGCAAAGTTGTTGAGGGTCCCAATGTGTATGTCATTGATAAGAATGCTGGGGGAATCTAAGAGAATCCAGCAGAACCTAAGGTACTTTGTACCCACACGCAAATGATGAGCAACACTTGGCTTAGTCTTCCCTGTCCCTCCATAATGCTGCTTTTAAACTACAGAAAAGAATGACAGCCAAAAGTGCTGAGAGAAGGGATAATGCCAGTAGTTGTGTTATTAAGCATAGTTATATCTACATGTTTTTAACAAGCTTACAGGGCCTCTTGTACTGGATTTGAAAGAAAGTGCAATAAGTACTGGAAATTTTTAAAATCTCAAATTTATTTTTATTTTGAAATGCATTTGATCAAAATTACAGAATTTATCAGGGACATCTTCTACTGAAATCTGTCAACTACTAGACAGTGCCAGTAACGAGTGGTTATGCAAACTGAATTCTCTTTCATCAGTCATCACAGCTTCCTTTTACAGAGGACCTGATCATCCTGACTCTTTTGCGTATCTACAAGTAGCATACTAAAGTGGAATTTTTATATTAGCTGAAGTTGAATTGCTTTTAGATTTTTATCATTTACACATTCACCTTTATCTACAACTACATTTGTTTGAATAGGACATATTGATTTGTCTCCCTGATCAGAGAAAAAAAACTGAACAGACATCGTTTAACTACCCAGTATCTACACTCCCTTTATTTGAGTAGGAGGTGAACACCCTGCAAGGACAGAAGAGAGATGGCCAAGGGTCAATCCATTTTTCAGTAGTAAGCATTTTGAAAAGTAATATAAGATACTAAGTAGACTGTAAGAGCAGCTTGCATTCTTCTATCAGTGAATATACTTCTATTTTATTTTCTCAAATAATCCAAAATAACCAGGCTTTGGAGGAGACACTTCAAGTTTTCAGATGAAACTGGCTTTTGTTGGGTTTTTTTTCCCTTTTATTTCTTTGTGGGAGACGCAAATGATGCAAATAGATAAAAATCTATAAATGAAAAATAAACTTCTGAGACCTTGCATAAGAACGTCATCCACACACAAACAGATGACTATACTTAGTTTCAAAGTTCTTTTCTCTAAATACTTCTAAACTAATCGGTTGGAGTGAACATCCTGTCTGTGAGCAAATTCTTCTTTTTTTCTTTTTTCTTTTTTCTTTTTTTTTCCATTTAGATTAAGCAAAAATATCCTACAACAGAATACATCAGAACAGCATCAGTTACAGATACATCCACACTCCTAAGTAACTATAGAAATTACTGAAGAGAAACTCTGCACACAACAACAACAAAAGCTCTCTGTTTAAAGGCTTAAATTCCCCTATGATGAGAAAACGCAACATTTGTATATGTTTGCTTTGATTATTAGAAAGCTAAAGAGGAGATCTCTCTCCTTCTTCCCTCACTCTGATCCTAAAACAATGCCAGAGCCTCAGGCACGATGTAAGGACAATGCAGTCCTTTCTGTAGTGTACAAGGTTCATAAGCACTGAAGTCCCTAAGGAATGCAGATGCCACTCTACATACACTTAAAAAGAGAAATCTTTAATTCAGGCAGAGCCTGGTCCAGACAGCTTCCTGCAAGGCTGTATTAGCATGTATGCAATTCCAGCGCTGAGAAAGAAGACACTGGGATTAATTTTCTAAGACATGGCACAGCATTGCCCTAGTGGTGCTGCAGCTGGGCATGAGTCCCTGCTGACAGCCTCCAGCTTAAGACCAGCTGCACCTACCAGTTCCCTCATTTTGGAAATGCTGCAGAGTCATGTGCCTGGTGTCATTTCAGAAGAAGATACAGTTTTGGACTCAGAACACAACCCCAAATAAAAATAAGGTTTTTTTTTTTTTAACTCCAGATCACACATCATACATGCAGCTGGGATTACCCTAGGTTGCAAGTCTCAGTGAATTGTGGAAAACACGCCAGACTGTAGACAAGGTGTGCAGAACAAAAATTCCTTGATGTCCTGTGGTAGAAGGCACTTTCTGTGCTGGTCTCCTGCTGCAGGTGACGCAGGACAGCATTGTGATACTTACCTGCAAAATGAGTTAGGCACTTCTGACTGACCCAGATCTCCTGTGCCACTGAAAATTGCCATTCTTTTTATCTTGGTCTTCTAAGTATTAATAGGAAGATTCTCCCACATCATGAGCTGGGAAACATCTGCCTGGAGCTCCCAGTGCACTTATGTCAGCCAAAAAAGAAAGACATGGGCTTCCTGCAGGACCATCATCTTTATCATCTAACTTGACAAGCCAGCTGAGGCCAGGCAGACTGGCCTTAGGGAGGGGACACAGGACAACAGGAAAGATCATTTTTATTCTTCACACTGAGCTTGTAGTTAATTAGAATTTGATTAGTTGGACATTTGTCTGCCTGGCAACCCTAATTCCTTTGGCTTTTTTCTGATCTTTTCTTTCAGCTCTATCTCTTTATGCAATAGAATGTTATATATACAGCCTTTTCTCACAGCATTTCTGTATTCTTTCTGGTTATGAACTGCAATAGCCTAGAAGGTACAGCCAGGCACACAGCCCAAGAACATGGTTCCAATAAGACAAGGTGAGTTCTACCAACCCCATGAGATGAAGCCTCTTCAGAAGAAGAACGAGCTCACAGTAACTGCAGTTATATAGACCTAGTTCGCATGTAAGAAGAAAAGGTTTTGTATATATGTGTTTCCTTGGCCCTGCAGAAAAAGAAGAGGCCAGGCATATTTCTTTCCATTCTGCAGAACTGGAGTTTGAGGAAAGAAAGGCTGCATTGTTCTTCAGCCGGGTCATGGAGATTCCTTAAAATCAGTCTTTGGGCCTGGCCAGTCCACTAAAAAAGTGAGTAGATGATTTTCACATTTATTGCTCAATATTAAATATGAATCTGAATATAACCTTAAAGATTCTGTAAATAAATATAAATCCTGAGAATTTACACAGTCATAGTTTGACAACCTTTTGAAATTAAAATCTTATTGTTTTAACTACTGTTGAAGAAAGAGCTTGAAATATGCACCAGATTCCATTAAAAATTAAACTTCTGACTGCAAGCAGATGTTGCAAGGTGAAGAATAACTGAGGATAGAAGCAGAAGATGACCATAGGGATATCCTTCCAAATTCTCAGATAACGGGCAGTAAAGGACAGTTGCCATCTACTCTCTTCCGGCCCAAGGCCATTCAGAGATCAGAATCATTGGCCATTCTGTAGGCTGGGACACCAACTTTGTCTCTCCTTCATGGAGCAGTGGGCTCACAAATTTTGTTAACCACCAGTTTGAATTTCTTCTATGTTGAATGCTTCTCAATCATTGGACTGTACAGGGGGAAAAAAAAATCTAGGTAGAATATAAGGTTTGGAAGAGAGCAAGTGACTCCACAAAGCATAGGTGACAGCTAAATAGCCAACTGGAGATAAGAAGATGAAGACCAGAAATTAAAAAACACAAGCCTTTTCTTTTTCTTATAGCTGGTTAGCTTCGTCTCAATGAAGAAATAGGGACATTTTTCTGAAGATGTATTGCAGGGTCCTCTCAGGATTCCCATCTAGTAGTCTGAGGTGATGAACCTGCCTTAAACTCAGGAAAGGACTGTGAATTTTTAGGCATATTAAAGCTCATGCACTGACCTGCACATTGCATTTCTGGCAGCATGAGTGAAGCTAAAGTGCATTGTCCTCATACAATCTGCTACGGAGACAACTGCAGACTTTGACCCTGTTATATAAACAGAAGTTAAAGGCACATATTGCTAAAGGCACATATTACTACCAGGCACAAGGAAATTTTCTAATGATACATTTCATCATTCATATTACAATCCTCTGCAGAGGGTTATAGTACACAACATAATATACATTACAGGATCATATATGATCCATATGGACTTCCATCTCCATAGACTGCCCTGCTTCAAGATATTCCTGGACTAGATTATTCTTCTATCAAAAGTAGAGATATTGTGTCTAATTATTTCCTGCTGTCCTCTCTGTGTCTTATTATTCCATTAAACAAACAGACAGTGTTTGGTATATGAGTAAGTAATGTAGTGTAACAGAAAACATGCTAGAAAGGAAACGATTAGTAATCACTGCTTTTTGCCCAAGACAGCTAAAATGACCTATTTCCTCAGCTCATCAGCTGAGCAAACTACTGACTTCAAGATGTAAGAAACTGTTCTTGTTCTTAGGTTCCAAATACAATTTTGTTTCTGTAATGAATCCGAGGGTTTATGTTTTATGACCGTAAATATGATCTGGACTGGAAAAGAAGCACACAAGAACCACATTCATTCCATAAACAGAAGAGATGAATGAGAAGACAGACAGACAAACCTAAAAAATAGCCCAACTGTTTATTAAAAATGTTTAATACTTTTAATATCTAGAACTCAGAAAGAATCAGTTTTGTGAACATTTTCCCAGGACACCTCAGTACAGGTTATGAGCTAAATGGACACCATTATTACACTATTTTATTTCTTTAGGCAGTAGGAAGATAAAAAGTTAATCAGTGCTCTCAAGTGACCTAATCAGATAAAAACTAATAGCAGATTTAAGGGATCTGATCCACTATCTACTGGTGCGAAGAAGTATCAACTACCTTATGAACACAAAATAAATTCCCAAATGGACCTACTTCAGTCACACTCCATTAAAGTGCTCAGGTGTCTCAGAATTTCCAGCCCTGAGCATAATTTTGTGACAAAATAGCTAATCACTATGGATGCTTTATAATTAGTACTGTGAGGCACGTGTGCAATGCTGAAATGTTTTGACTTAGGAAGTTTTAATTTTGTGGTGGTTTGTTTTTGCTGGACATGAGAAGAGGCAGTTCTCAAACATCAGCTCACCTGAAAACTCCAGATGGCGAGTTAAAATCACGCATTTACAAGCAGTTTGGAGGCTTCTCTGCCACTTCTTTTCTGATTTAGGGAAAGCACTAAAGGTATCTTTCCCCTAAAAAAAATCCCTCTGAACAAAAATAAAACAGTAACTTTAACTAGAAAATATGTAAAAGTAGTGAGTTCTGAACAATGTTATTCTGCAGTTTCAGTTTTAAGTTTTTCTCAGACCTATGACAATGAGGAATATGACCTCACAGTAAAACCTAGTCCTATCAGAAATAGGAATTGTATTCCTGATATTCCTGATAGGAATACATTTCTGGCGATACAGTCATCTAAAAACAAATGCAATCTCAGGAGAGAGAATCAAATATTGATTTAATGCTTTGATACATCTACTCTTGTCTTCAAAAGCCATGAGACTTCCTTCAAAGAAAGGGCCCTACTATACAGGTCATCTGTAGCCTGGCACATAAGCATAAACACAGGCTGTGTCTAACCTGGCTGGCAGTTCAGTTCAGCTGACACGAGCAAGTGAAGAAAGGCAGCTAGCACTAGAAACCTTACCTCCACCTTGGAGTTTCTACTTCAGCCTAACTTCAGTCAAGTTGGTTGGACTCAATGTTCCCCATCATGCCTTTGGTTCAAAGTGGTCCTATGGACCAGCCACTGATTCAAAGCCTCATGATCTCCCGCAAGAACTGGAGGTGGTTAGATAGTACCTACTTAGAGCAGAGGTTAGATGGTACCTACCTAGAGCAGAGCTTACAGTCTACTTTCTTTGGAAAACAAACGAGTTTGTACTTTTCCCCACAACCTTGAAAAATGATCACAAAACATTCACATGGGTGCAGTTACAGGTAACACTGGCGCACTGAGCATGATTTATGCTTTAATGATTTACTTGTGTTTATGCTTCAGGAGCAGGCCATACACTCACCAGAGGACAAAGAAGGAGACCTTCTTATCGAATATAATGGTGCTGTTAGTACAAAAACACATACACAATCTCTCAGTTTATTGTCCTCTCCTGCCTCACTGCTAAACGGCCATGATACCATGCCTGTGGCATGTTAATTGATCCACAGGCGTGTTTGCATCCTCACAAGGATCATAAGCATTTTGAGTTGAATCCTGTGTGCCACAAGGAAGGCCGTGCCCTGTGCCGGCATGAAGGCTATGAGGTGAGACAGCTCCAACCATGGGAGGGACAAAACCTCTAGCAGCAGGCTGGCTTTGCCATGTCAGCTGTCACTCTACCCCATGGCCTCACATCTGCCTGCTCAGACCTTCTGAGCTCCCGTTGACTCTCCAAAACACATGGAAGGAATCTTTCTAATGTGAATGTTTCATATAAGCTTTTGGCTAGGACATCTGCCCACCACTCCTCTGCCGTGCTTTGCTCCTCTGAGGATCAGACACAGACATCAGTCATTGCATGACCTCGGCCTTCCTGAGCTCTTTGCCAGCCCCTCTTTTTGAACATTGTCTTCTTAAGATGTGAAAGGTGACATAATTGAGCTAAATGCCACCGGAAAACTCAATTGTAATGAGACCGCAAATCCCTCTGTGAGTTTCAAAATGCTGAGAAACTTCCGTAAAATTCTTAGCAGGGCTTTGTGTCTTTCCTCCTATCCGCTGAACTGAAAGAGCCTCTCAGTTTTTCAGTGCTGTGGGTCAGAAAGCCATGTGCGCTCTCTGTCTACAAGGACCAGGGCTGGGCCTCAAACACATTCCTTTTGTCCAGAACTCAGGCAGAGACTTTGAAAAAAACAGAGGATACTGGCATACATTCTCCCTTTATACAAACAAGGGAGATAATGCACTTTATATCAGATGAAAAGCCATGGACTAGATTTCTCCTTGGTTGAAGTCTAGCTACAGAACCCACTCAGCTTTTCTCTTGCTGCAGAGTACCGCAGAGTAAAAGGATCTGAGGATGTTAGCTAACAGCCAGGTGAACATCAGCCAGCAGTGTGTGCAGGTGGCAAAGAAGTACTTGATACTCAAGTACTGTGTTCAGTTTTGGGCCCCTCACTACAAGAAAGACATCAAGGCCCTGGGGCACAGCCAGTGAAGAGCAATGAAACCAGTGGATGATCTGAAGCACAATTCTTAAATGGGGGCAGATGAAGGAGCTGGGATTGTTCAGTCTAGAGGAGAATCAGGGGAGACTTTATTGTTCTCTACAAGTCCCTGAAAGGTTGTGGTGAGGTAGGGGTTGGCCTCTTCTCCCAGGTAACAGCAGTAGAATGAGAGGAAATGGCTTGAAGTTGCACCAGGGTTGGTTCAGGTTGGGTATTAGAAAAAAATTATTCTCAGAAGGAGTGACAAATTGCTGGAATAGGCTACTCAGGGAGGTATTCAAGAAATGCAGAGATGTGGCACAGGTGGACATGGCTGAGCAGGCATGGTGGTGGCAGGTTAATGGTTGGACTAGATGGTCTCAGAGGTCTTTTCCAACCTTAATGATTCTGATTCCATCCCTGCACAGGGCACGAAGCAGCCAGCAGCCCTTCACCGCCACAGTTCTGTTTGCACCCAGTTGCATTAGGAAGGCTGGCATCAAACACACAAGGCATCATGAGACTGCAGCAGGCCCTGCAGGGAGCTGGGGCTGCCCAGCACTAGCAGCTAGAGGACTAAGGAAACGCCGAGCGAAGCCAGGCTCCCACACAGTACTGCGGTGCTCTCGCTGGGGCCTTCTGCTTGCGGGAACTGAAAGACAACGGAAACCGGCCCGCACCCGACCCAAGGCGCGCCAGCTGCCACGCCGACGCCCACCGCCTCAAGATGGCCCCGGGCGGCGTAGAGCGGGCACAGCGCCCGCGGGACCCTCCGCGCCCTGCCGGCTGACAGGTGCCGGGGCCAGAAGCCCCGGCTGAGGCAGCCCGCCCGGCCGGGGGTACCGCGCCGGCGCTCCGGCGTCAGGAGGAGCCACTCGGTGCCGCTCTTTCTCCCTCCGCCGCCGCCAAGCAGACCGTGTGCGGTGCGTGTGTCAAACCCACGTGTTTCGGGCGCCCGGCGCGCAGAGCGGCGCCGAGCGGCCG